GATTGTTGTTGGGGGCGATATGCTGACTCTGTAAAACCGCTTAGAGAGGGCTGAAAGCCCTATGAAGCGGTATATAAGTCTAACTGCTATTGCTAAGAGGCCGGGCACCCTCCCTCCAATTGCAGAATGAAGGGATGGAATGGCCAGCCAGTAGATGAAGACAATGGACAGCAACTGAATCCGTCTTTGAAGGACATAAATCAACTGGGCAAAGGGTTGGCCTTCGCTTAGAAGGAAGCATAGACAGCCGAGAGTTTTGTCCTCAGCTCTGGGACTCTGGGGAAAAAACCTCTTTGCGCAGAGGGTGTGTTTGTACGAGCCACAAAAGTGGTGGTGGTGGTGAGTGGGCATTGTAGGGCAGGGCCCTGAATGGACCCACAGGAACCTTGGGAAGAGCCGCTGGTCCCTCTGCCAGCCTCCAGGGAGGGCCAGCAAACCTTTTTTGGGTAGCCCGCTGCAGAGCTGGGCGTGCAGGAAGAGCTTGGCAGCTGACTGGCAGGTGGGGCAGATGCCCGAGGGAGGAATTGTACGAGCCGGGAGAGTGAAAGCACCGGGCATCGCCTGCCTGCCGCCTTCCGCCTTTGCCTGGCAGGTGAAAAGAGGCCAGCTGGGCTTTTTGCTGAGCCAGCAGGAACGGAGAGGAGACGCCACCCATCACGCCGGGAAGCTGGAAGCGTCAGCAGCCGAAGGGGGCGGCTGCTTCCTCTCCGAGTCCCACCTACTCACCCACCCACCCGCCTCCATGGGTTCTTCCTACGCGGAGGGCATCTACATGGATAACAATCAAAAGTCGTCCCAGTTTGTAATAGGCGTCTTGGGTGTCGTCCCAAAACATCTGGAGCAGCACGTGGACATCCTTGGCATTGACACACAATCCCTGTCGGTCAATTGCAAAAGGAAAAGCTTTGCTTGCAACTGCTTACATTCAGGGATGAAACCTTTAGCCCCATCAAAGCATCCACATCTGGCCCATCCCAGATCCTCTGGCAGGTGGACATAAATGCCAAATCGAGCCTCAACCTCTGGATGACTAGGCAGCCAACCATAAGTATTTATTTTTTTTTAAAAAGATAGCTTTGTTTTCTTCCTCCCCTCCCCTCCAAGAGGCTTCCCTGGATTCTGGTTGACTCCCAGACTCCGAGACTCAGAGCTTAACCATCCCAGCTAATAAACCATTAGTGCAGCTCCTCCCTTTCCTTGTGTTTGTGTTGTCTCCTCCGAAAGCCATCTGGGCTCTCGGGGATCCTCGTACCGTCTCAGGGCAGTGAGTCCCACAGGTTAATTACAGGCTGCGAGGCCAAGTCTCGCCTCAAACGTTGTGGCATCTTCGTATCTGAAGCTCCGTGGAGTTTGGAAAGGGCCTCTTTTGATCTGACAAGCTTTCTGGGGTTCTCGGCCCCACCTGGGCTGCTGGGTGTGCCTCCCCATGAAGCAGCTAATGAGGGAGGGACGTGTCCCCAAATCTCTCTGGGGACATTGCACCCCTGGAGCCGTGTTGGCGAGGGAGTTGGGCAGGTGCACAGCCAGGAAGCCTTTGGTGGGAGGGCTTTTGCACGGAATAGAACAGAGAACTGAATTGAATTAGAGGAATAGGAATAGGGAATAGAATGGAATAAGAATAAAACAATAGAATAGAATAACAGTGTTGGAAGGGGACCTTGGAGGTCTTCTAGTCCAACCCCCTGCCTAGGCAGGGAACCCTACATCACTTCAGACAAATGGCTTTCCAACATCTTCTTAAAGGCTTCCAGTGTTGGGGCATTCACAACTTCTGGAGGCAACTTCTGTTCCACTGATTACTTGTTCTCACTGTCAGGAAATTTCTCCTTAGTTCTAAGTTGCTTCTCTCCTTGATTAGTTTCCACCCATTGCTTCTTTTTCTGCCCTCAGGTGATTTGGAGAATAGCTTGACTTCCTCTTCTTTGTGGCAATGAAGTCTGGAATATCTT